AGCAAACCTTGATGCCCTTTGTTATACAGTGAAAAAGGTGCATCGCGATAACAACTACCGGAACACCCCCACGAACAAGTTCAAAAGACAGCAGTTTGCTGTGAAATTGTTGCAGTATATGGCGGCGGACAAGAAGATCTTGTATCTGGACGAAACCAACTTCAATCTGTGGATTAGCCGCAGCAATGGGTGGAGCGTTCAAGGTACTCGCGCGGTGGACTTGAACACGTGTAGCAAAGGCAGCAACATTCATGTTATTGCTTGTATTTCACGCGATGGAGTTGAGTATTCGGAAGGGCGTTTTGGGTCGTTTAAGTGGGAGTCTGCAAACGAGTTTATTCGCTGTATGCTGCGTGCCCAGGCGGCTCATGCAGATCTCACTAATGTTGTCGTTGTGTTAGACAACGCACCCTGCCACAACCGCGCCGAAACAGTGTTTGAAGAGGACGAGTTTGCTCAAGTCGAATGCCTACGTCTCGGACCGTACTCACCTATGCTGAATGGAATTGAGAACGTGTTCTCTGCGTACAAGTCAGCAGTGAAGCGGTACATGGCAGTGAACCGATGCAAGATTCTTGACGTTCCTCAGGGAATGACCATCACAGCTCATCGCTCGACATTTCTGCTGCATGCGGCAAACAACATCTTTCGTGAGGTCGTCACATCCGAGCTTTGCCGTAAGTGCATTCATCACACCTTCGGGTTTCTTGCAGATGCTATCCTACTGAAAGACATGGCCGTGGGAAATTGACAAAAGTTGATAATTCCTCTCCGAAAAAAATAAAAATAAATAATAAAAAGCGCACTGTGCATTTTGAATCCTGGGTCTGGTTATTTTGAACTGGGGTTTGCCCGCCACTATGCACAGGTCGGACCCGGGGTGGTTGTATTGAAACCCGGGGGTGGGGAGAACGAATCTGAAATGGTGTAGTCACAACTATTCAATATACCGCTAAGAGTGTTTCATTGGCCACATGGACTGGCCCCTAATTGGCAAGCCGGCCCCGAATTGGCTATTTCCCTAGAGTTAAACGATACTCATATTACAGGAACACATCCGAGTCTTAGTCCCAAGGAACAGAGCAACTTCTGCAACGTCCCCTAACAAATTACTGTATCCCAGTTCAATACTACTCTTATAGATGATAATTATTCGGTAATCTATTAGCAAACAAGAATATGACATTTGTCTAGGACATCGATGGAAATGGCGACCTGGCTTCCCCCAATCTCAAATAGTACTCAAGTCTGAAGCAGTACATTATCTTAACCTGGCATGATCACCAGTAGATTTTCTCCAGCATTGCGTTTACTTCGTGTCGGGTGTCTTGCCCTCGAGGCGCGCGTTGCGCTGGTCGGTTAACTCGGCTGCCCAGGACTGAACCAGCGGCGTGCGAAATTTGCCCTTGGTGCTCTGGAAAAAGTCGTCCAGTGGGATGTTCTGGGCTATAGACAGCAATAAAATCATGAGCAAGTATAGTGGACGGTAGCGCATTTGTGAAAATCTATACCTCGTTCGTAGTCGTCGGCTTGCAGAATCATCTCGAACTTATCAAAGTCCTGCAGAAACAACACATCAGTAATACAAGTAGCAGCCGACCAAGAAGAAACACGCACCTTGACGATCTTGGCTTCCTCAGTGGACCCGGCCTCGTATTCATTCCACAGCTCACGGATCTCCGCAGCGGACGGTGTGTTGCCTAGTGTGTTGCAAATTTCGTCCAGTGCTTCCTTCTCCATGCGGTGCTTGTCCTCCTCAGCAACACCTGCTCACAAGACGTTCCGCGTCAACAAACTACCCAAAAAAGATCAACTTCACAAACTTTCCTACCGTCATGAGGCGTAATATCACCCACCAGCGACTCCGCTAGGTCGTGCACAATGGCCATTTTGATACACCTACTCGACCATGGGTTATATAACTACACCATCAGCTTCACACGGATTTTAACGATTGGACAAGGACGAAGACACGTACTTGGAGCGATTCACGCTCTCATTAGCGTCGTCTAGCAGCATGCAGCACATTCCCATGCGATACATGTGATCAGACACAGACTCGGGCAGCGCCACCTTGTTATTCACCCATCCAGTGCGCTTAAGTGTCTGTGCAGTCCAAAAATGACACCGGCCATAGCGTTCAGTGTCCGGTTTTTTTCAGCTACACTTGGTTCCAGAGCGATTCCTTCGCGCAGTATATAGACTGTATTCACATCTATCCAACGCCGTATCGTACTTACTTTCAGACGCCCGCAAAGTCGCAAGAACTCGATGGCACTCAGCGCCTTCGCACCCGTAGCCATCGACATTTTTTAATTGAGTTGTGTAACCTCATTATACCCCAGTTTTACTACACTCTTCAATTTTCAGCCAATCAGATTCGTTGGCGCTATTTCATAATTAAAAATGTGGCCGCGTCGACAGCCAGCTAATGGCAGTTCTTCGAGCGCTAAAAATTCGGCCCCCACGGCCTGTACAGCTCCTTCAACAAGTTCATCTTCTCCTTCATCGTCCTCTCTATCTATATCTCTTTTTGCGCCGCGAAGAAGCGAGTTAAAAGCCTCAAACGCCAATGCTAAGCCTAAAAAAGCCATAAATACAAGCAGCGACGACGCGGCGTGGCTATTACGTGCCTTAGGCAAGAAGAAAAAGAAGAAGGTTCAGACCGGTATGAAAAAGAAGGTCGTGAACAATTCAGAGGTTGAAAAATCGACGAAAAAGACGCAGCAAAAGGTGAAAAATGAGCGAAAAGGCGGCACCATAAACCTCTCCATGTCCGTGCAAGAACGTCAGCAATTGTGGCGCAATGGTGCGGCCAAAAAGCCTCAGGATGAGGCTGCACAGCGGGCCAAGCAGCAGGAACGAGAACGTCAGGAGACAGGCTTCGACCGCGTCTTTCAGGAGGTTTTCGGCAAGGATCAAGAGGAGCAGAAAGGAGGAGACGAAGAAGAACTGGGTGGTATCCTAGACGCCGCTAGCTCTTCGTCGCTTAGTCTCGCTATTACGACGCCAATTGAAGACGAGAAACCTATGAAAGAGACTAAAGCAACCGGGAAACGGAGAGCTCCAGACGAAAACGAAGAAGAAATGTGGGGCTTTGCTTCAACGGGGAACAGTGCGTTGAGTCTCGATGACTTTGACGCCCCGAAAGAAAGTAGTGACATGGATTCTGGCAACTTTAAGGCTAAAACGACCGCAGAGTTTGAGCGGTGGAAAGCGGAAGACGCTCAGAGTGCCGTTAGTGACAACTTTGTGCGCCTGAATATGCGGAAGCGATTGAAAGGCAGCTCTGGACGTGCGAAGAAGCGCCCAGCTTATCTGCGAGCACGGAATGAGAACCCTCTTGATGAAGCTACGGGTGAGAACTCGACAGGAATCGCGCCAGTTGTCAACGCCAATGGCAGTCAACAACACAAGCAGGACAAGTCACTGTTGGCTGATGATGGAGTAGACTTCATTGAGGAATGTCTGGAAGCTTTGGCCAAGGCTGAGAAAGCGCATGAGCTTGCTGAAAAGAAGGAGTCAATGACTTCCAAGCAATCAGAGCCATTGGAACCCCCGAGATGTCATCATGCGCTGGTCTGCCAGAGCTTAGAAGTCAAGAAGAAGAACAAGAATCACGGCCGCAAATTCTTTGCGTGTCCGTTGAGTTTTGATGAGGGACGCTGCGATTTTTTCCTCTGGGAAGACGACCACGTCCCGTTTGCACTGCAGACTCTCTTCACGGTCTCTTCCACGACCAGTATCAGTGCATCAGCAGCTGAAGCAGAAGCTGTTGAGTGCGTGCCTCTCGATATCGAGGCTTCCGAAGAAGAGCAGAGACACGCTATGCTCACGAACTTACGTTTGGTGTTCGGCCACGCCGAGTTCCGTCCTGGTCAGCAGTGGGCTATCTCCAGAGTACTGCGTCGAAAAGATACTCTACTAGTATTGCCTACAGGTGCCGGTAAGTCGCTGTGCTACCAGTTCCCGGCACTCTTCCTTCCTGGTATTACACTCGTGATCTCCCCATTGATCGCGCTGATGAATGACCAATACGAGAGT